CTAAAAATATACCCCATTATTTCTTTCCAATAACCTAATAAGAAATAAGCTCAAGCAACAAGGTTTAACTCTATGAATTTGTCACATAGAGATGGGAAATCACATGTATCAACACCATGTGATGGTATGGCAGCCAAAATGATGCCAAAGGACCAAATAAAATAAAAACCTTACCTAATCCTATTCATATCTATTTAAAATTAAAAATCACCCTAACAGAACCATGCATTTTAGCACACGGAAGAGATCAAGGCTCTATTACATGACTCCAGCCATTATCAAACACGTGACAGTGACCTAAACGACAACAGGCCATTATGCCCTAATTTAATAAGCTCAGTTTCCATGTATTCCTTTGCAGGGACCCTACACATAACACACAGGGTGTCACAACAGCCACAGAACTCAAGCAACCCAACAATGTCAAATAAAAATGACCTGAAAAGGTCGCCTCTGCTCTGAGGAGAGAAAAGTCATAGCAACTGATGGCTCACAGATAAGGGGCTATGACACTGGCGGGCCTTAAAACCTTGTCAAGGGGTCAAAAGGAAACACATGCAGCAGCCAAGAGATGTGCACTAACAATTGAAAATACCTTTAACACCTCTAGCATTTCTTTCCAGTTACCTAATCTGAAATGAAGTCAAGAAACCAAAGTAAACTCCACAAATCTGTCACACAGAATCACAAAGTCACAAGCATTTACTCTCCACTGTGCAATGAAATCTGGCAGACAAACTAATGCTAAGCACACTGTAAAAACTAAGGTCACTTCTCACATAAAACCAAGCCACACTCCGTTAATGACAACACAATGACACAAGGTGACAGTGACCCAAACAATAAGTCCCTGTCATGACAAACTGAATTAATTGGCTCGGTGGCCATGTTTTCCTTTGCAGGGTATGCCACCCATACCAGGCAACCAGGGTCACAACACAAATACCAGTCCAATGATGGCACGGCAGCCACACAACCAGCAAAATGTAGATAAAAATCAGTTGTCCTTACTGCTGTAGGTCTCCTTCTGCGCCTTTAGCTCCATCACTGTGTAAAGATGTTGACCAGGGATGACCCAAGTTCTTGACAAATCCATCAAAGAAGCTTGGTAACTCCACTGAAAATTCATATCACAGCATCCAGCTTCCCACAGGCTGCTGCTAGTGGACAACAAACAAATACCAGTGTTAGCAGTACTGAGAGAGAAACATACTCATGCTGCCAAATCCAAACATTCACGTTAGCATTAACATTTAAAGACAAAAAGGTGTCGTATGCTGTACGGACTTCAAAACCCCTTGAAGTACATTTCTGATAAGGCTGTACAAATTTACTTGACTTGAAACTTACAATCATTTGTATACAGTACTTAAAAGTGGTTTCCTCTGATTAAGTTTTACTCTTATGGGTGATATTTGAAGATCGGCCATCCTGTACCTTTGCAGTGAAAAATGTGACCTGATGCAGAAATCCACTTTCTGTATATATTAGAGTTAATCACTTTCTAGAAAGGATAACCTGCATTGTACTGGCTGTACTGGCCCTTTGGAGAGTACTTAAACTGGTACAAAAGTTCTGGATGGACCATTAAAATATAACCCATGAGACAGAAAAAAGTAATCAAAGGCAGAAAACCACTAACAGTAACAAAATGTTAGCTGTAATCACTTTCTGGTCAGGAGAAAACTGCATTTTACTAATTATACCGGCCCTTTACAGTACAAAGGTAGTGGATGACTCAATCTTTAAAGATATAACCCACAAGAGTGAAACAAAGCAAGATGGAAATCCACTTTCATTTAGCTTTAATTACTTATTGGCAATGAGAACACAGCATTTTCCTCCTGGATCCTTACAGTTACTTCAACTGGTAAAAAGAAACAGGCCTTTTTGTGAATAAATGTAAGGCTACTTTAAACATGGCTAAATATTTAGCTTCTGAACCTAAATGGGTTTTGACAATTAAATCTACGCAGTTCATAATTAAAACATTGCAGCGGAGTCTACCTTTATCACAGGTAACTTCTGTATGTAGTGGCTACATCCAGCATCTACCACTGAAGAATGACTGCTATGGTTTAGCTCATGTTCATTCCCTTACAGCCTCCTTCAAGTTCACTTTAGCCAAAGGCTTGATTCCGATAAAAGCAGCTGCATGCAGAGACAAACTGGGCGATGCATGTGGAGGCAATCAGCTTGTGGCTGTTGAGTAAAAACAGGTGCTGCTCATGACAAACTGAACCAAAATTCGGACGAATGACCGCAGGCCTACACACTTCAGTCTATTAATAATGCCGACGTTTCGACCCCAACTGAGGCCAAGTCAAAAGTTTAAGATTCAAATATAGTTTGTTTTATTTAAAAAAAAAAACGCTCACGTCACACCTGATAATAACCACACAATTACGTCATCAGCAGTTCATACAGGTGCTTCCAATTTAAGGTCTTAGCGAATGAGAGCAACTTCCATTACAAATGTAAATTACAGGCGAGGGCCTATAAACAAACATATAACCCTGTTTGGCACAGCTACCTCTTACTTACCGCTGGGACATCCAGTTGACATAGTGTCCTTTGTGTTGTTACACCGTGAACTACTGACTGCAATAAGCTACGAACTCAGGTTTGGTTAACCGACAACTGGTGATGGCACAGGTGTGTTCTCTCACCGTGTAACGGTGATGAGAAAACACTACAGTTTAGAAATGCATTTTGTTCGACAACCCTGTTGATGGTTAAATGATTATTCATTTTAAGAGTGAGGTGGTTTTGATGTGTTGTTACATGATTGCAATGCATCACTTCTTTATATTGCGAAAGGATTTTATTTTCGAAAGCACATCCGGTAGAGAAAGCACATCCATTCGAGTGGACACTAGAGGGACCTTGGGTCCTGTCTCCAGTCATTAAACCACTGGCTTGAGACGTGAACGACCGCTGTTGTTTCTTTGGCTCAAGTTATTCCCCTTCTTCAGGGGCTGTGGTCGTAACAACAGCACCTCGGACTACTGTGGAAATCGCCTCCATAGTTTTGCCCAGCGCTTGTTTGTTCCAGAACACCTGGATAACCACAGACACCAACCACCACAAAAATACAGAACTCCAAAGCACACCAGGGCTGTCTAGATACAGGTCCTATTATTTTTTGATTGGAGACCTACACAAGTTCACCAGCTACAACTTTGACACTGTGGCGTCTTCAGTAACTGCTCTCTTTTAACCTACTACCTTTATTCATTGCTTTATCAAGAGTTTTGTCATCAGAGCCCCTTAGCCTCCTAATGGGGTACGTTTCAACCTAACAAACTGTCCATAAGAGATATTGGAGATCTTTTTTTTTAGGATGGTATCTCTGTCTGTATCTTTTCAATAAACCTATTTTCATCCACTGATATTAGTAGGTCCAGAAAAAGTACTTTACTATATTTCAAAGTAAATTTCAATGATGGATGTGTGCGATTTATATAATCTCTGAATGGAAGAATTTTTTTCTTCAGAGCCTGTGGATCTTATAAAGAACAGAAGATCCTGGACATAATAACAACCCCTTCATAAATTCATGGTTGTCTTTACAGGATTAAAGATTATCTGTCAATTCAAAATCATAGAAGCAGTAGTATGGTCAGTACTTATTCTTAAATGTCCCATATATACATATTACTAACCTTGGCGATAATGCTTTTAGGCATCTTTCAGTGTAATGAAGTGGATCTCCCCTTATGTTAGCTTCTTTGGTTTCTCTTGGCAATTTTAAAGAATTATTATGCAAAGTGTTATATGATTCATTTGGCTACTAATTTGTGTCTCTGGATATTTGTCATTTTTTATTGCTGGTTGTGTTTTATGAACAAGTTTTATGACGATGAATGTTTCTTGTTCTCAAGTGTCTCTTAAAAAAGATTGTGATGTCAGTGAAGCTATATCAATAAATAAAGTTTAATAATAATAAAAACAAGGTAAATGGTTACATGCACAATAGTATCAAAACCACCTTCTGATTGTCTTTTTCTTTGTCAGGATGAAGTTAACCAGATTGTGACTACTAATGTCCGTGTCAAGCAGGTATGAGCCACAATGGAAGAAGTACTGTGATATTTTGTTCAAGTAACGGTAGCAATACTACAGTGATGTATACATTAACTTATGCTATCCATTTGTTTAGAAATCACCATAACTGGTCATTCTAGGTCACTGTAATTATTTTAGAGATGAAATCAATGCTTTGTTTTGTTCCTAATAGTCAATACTTTTGTGTCTGATCATGTTACTTAACCTAAGAAATTAATGCTGTTTTAGTTTGGTGTAAAATGTATATACTTAGTAGCAGCAAATGCTATGTTACACCTATCATATTATATTTAAATGCTGAATTTATCTGGTGAATATTTGCAAAGTAATTAGCATAGGTTTGTGATTTTTGCAGTTTTAACATCCAGCATAGTTTTCTTGAAATGTAAATATGGAATTAATTGAAGTAACAAGATTTTTAGTTGGTCTACAATGATTTGTACTTGGCTACTTGTGTTTAACTCTCAGATGGGAATAAAACCCCTTTATCAATATATTAGTAGGCCAAATAATCTAAAGATTTTCAATTCTTACCCCAGCAATGGCTGGATGTGAACCTGAATTGGAATCCAGATGACTATGGTGGCATCAGGAAGATCAGAATCCCTTCAAGTGACATATGGAAACCTGACCTGGTGTTATATAACAAGTAAATACACATTCTCTGTATCTTTGATGTATTCAGTACTCAAACACACACATATGTTTAGCACTCTTAACATCAAACATCTCGATACATCTCATCCTCTCACATTCTTCCTCTTCTCTGACTTGGCTGCCTTCCTCTTCAGTGCCGATGGTGATTTTGCCATCATCCATGAAACTAAAGTCCTGCTGGAGCACGACGGGAAGATAACATGGACTCCTCCCGCCATCTTTAAGAGCTACTGTGAGATTATTGTCCTCCATTTCCCATTTGACCTGCAGAACTGTAGCATGAAACTAGGAACCTGGACGTATGATGGAACAGTGGTTGACATCACACCAGTGAGTATAATGTCTACATTCACATGGTTATACTGCCATATTAGTATGAAAGCTAATGATAAACAGAAGTAGATTGTGAAAGCACCAGAGTTTGCATAAAACATGTAACCTTCAGATACCCTCACCTTTAATCCCTTTTGTAATACTCTTTTCTATTGTGCTACATTATTTCCTTCTCCTCGTCTTTTAGGACCACGATCGACCAGACCTCAGTATCTTCATGGAGTCGGGTGAATGGGTGATAAAGGACTACAGGAGCTGGAAACACTGGGTTCGCTACAACTGCTGTCCTGACACACCATACCTGGATATCACTTACCATTTCCTGATGCTGCGGCTGCCTCTCTACTTCATTGTCAATGTCATCATTCCCTGCATGCTGTTCTCTTTTCTCACCGGGCTAGTCTTCTACCTGCCTACTGACTCTGGTGCGTAGATCCGGGTGGGTCTTGGCATGCATTAAAACTTGACCAAAAGCAAAGAAGGTATGACTACACCCCTATTAACCCATGTCAAATGTACTTGCTGACATGTTTTACATATCAGATATGTATAGTGACTGTGGAAACTGTGAAAAAGCACTTACAGTGGAACAGCTTTCTGGACTGCTTTCATATGTGAAACAGCCACTAGATCCACCAGGTGTCGGTCACATTTCTCAGTGGATTTCATTTAGACTCAAAAACTAGAATATTTCATTAATTTGCTTATTCCCATTCTCAGGTGGGAGTCAGTAACACTAGAGGGTAGAAGAAACATTCAGATGAGGCTTTCATTTATATTTTAGGTAACAGCTCAAAACAAAACACATTTTAAACTGTGTCTTGGTTCCTCACACAGCTTAGCATTTTATTATCATACCAGAAGTATACAAGAAGCCTGAATGTCTCATTGTTTCTGCCTCTCTCCAGGTGAAAAGATGACTCTCTCCATCTCTGTCCTGCTTTCTCTGACTGTCTTCCTGCTGGTTATTGTGGAGCTGATCCCCTCCACCTCCAGTGCTGTTCCTCTCATAGGGAAATACATGCTGTTCACAATGGTGTTTGTCATCGCCTCTATCATCATCACTGTCATCGTCATCAATACACATCACCGCTCGCCCAGCACACACACCATGCCCGCGTGGATCCGCAAGGTTCTTCATTTGGTTCTGTCATCTACCTGTAAGCATGTAAGATGTGCCATTGTTGTTCACTGACTGAAAATGCTGCATCTGCCTCTCAGGTCTTCATTGAAACCATTCCCAACATGATGTTCTTCTCAACAATGAAGCGTCCCAGTCAGGAGATCCGGCAGAAGAGGTTGTTCCCTACTGACATGGACATCTCGGACATCTCAGGCAAGGCCACAGCTAAATGACAGCCCATAAACCATTCTGGAGAGAAAGCCAGATTATTATACTGCATGTATGCTTTGTTATGCACAGTAGGTGTAACTATTGAGAATGTGTGTTAGAGAATGCCTCAAAAACATTCATTAAAACCTTAGCAATTTACTTTGTGATTAAAAGGTGAAAAATGTTTCATCACAGGACTTTCAGAAAGCAGAATACATGAAATAAGTCAGCAACAGGAGAATCATTAGGGAAGACAGTGCACTGTCAAATTGCCCAGGATGCAGTATCTTCATGTGTCCGCACAACTACACCCTGTCCTCGCTCTGTCCTTTGCAGGTAACCCCACCCCAACCAGTGTCACCTACCAGTCTCCCATTGTTAAAAACCCTGATGTTCGCAGCGCCATTGAAGGGGTTAAGTACATCGCTGAGACCATGAAGTCAGACGAGGAATCTAACAATGTAAGACGGTGGATACAGATGTATGTGTCTGTACAGGTTTAAAAACCCTATTTCTCAAATATGATTGGAAACTGCCTGAGATGCAGCTTTTCAGCCATAAACATATTTTTAAAAAAAAGACAAACTAGCAGTTCTGCACAATCCTCTAATAACAATGTTTAAACTTTCCTAAATCTACACCTACAGTCAAAATAGTAAATTGACCATGTCTTATCTTCCCATCAAATCTCATTTAAATCTGTCAGGTTTATTTAGACCTCCTGCTTACAAAAAGCTAAAACCAGTGATGCAGTGACAAATGTTAGCAGTAAAAAAGTAGCTTCTTTCAAAAGTGATTATCACCAGGGAGATCGATTTCCCAAAATACTTTGTTTTTTTCTTGATTTACAATATTGCTCAATCTCTGGTGTATCTAGAAGGAAAACTTAAAGCTAAGTAAACATAAAGCAGTTACTTCAGAAAAACTCATCACTGCGAAAAAATAAACCCAAACTACACAGCCATCAGAGAATCTCAGTCAGTACAATATCAGACTCCCCCAGAGGTGACTCTCTCTCTCACTCATCCTGTCTCGTTCCAGGCAGCAGAGGAGTGGAAGTTTGTTGCCATGGTTTTGGACCACATCCTCCTCTGTGTGTTTATGGCAGTGTGCATCATCGGGACGATTGCCGTCTTTGCTGGGAGGCTCATTGAACTCAACATGCTGTAGAGACCTGGCCCATAAAGCCGCATGTGTATTGTCAGAATAGACATCACACTTGGAGACTTGCAAGAAGAGTTTCCACCAGTGGACTGGTTCAGGTTGTATTTTTTCTCTTCCTGTCTCTGTCTCTCACAAACAGACACGGTTTGATTTGATTTTTAAATGGGGTAAAATGCTCTCACTCAAATGTTTGTGTTTAATGAAACTGAAGAGATGACAGTAAACTGCAAATCCGGCCATCACGAATGCAGGAACAAACAACTTTTGTTGTTTTCATTATTTTTCTAGTTTCATTGCTCCCATCACTCTGATGGGCTCATTATATGAACCTTATGCAAGAGCCACAGCAGTATTAATTAGTGTTTTGTTTTGTCTTTTATTGGCAGCTTGATCCAAAGTTCAGGTTAGAGAATTTTCTGAGGTGTTAAAACTGAAAAACAAACGAACAAGAGACTTTGACAAAACTTTAATGCCCACTGTGTAGAGGACTAACTGCGAACACATACTATATCATGCACTTTCCATTAGCGTTTGGAGTGAATAGAAAATGACCCTAATGTCCATCCTATTACTGTAGGTCAGTTGAGGATGTCAGCTTAGAGTTCATGTGTATATAGAAACCTGATGTGCATGTTACAGGAATCTGAAGATGTATTCAGCTTGTTGTAAACAGAACCACCAACTGAATTGTATTTTAGTCCACTTTTATTGCTGTATAGACTAAGTCTGCTCGAGTGCAGGTAAGATATTTCCTACCTGGAAGTTTGATTGTTTTATTTTGCCTGACATTCAACTGACTTGTAAATGTCTCACTTGTATTTTTTGTTAAAGTTGTGAGTGGTGTAAAATTTAGATTCTGACTGACTTTAAATATTTATGACCAGGTTTGTTCTGTTGTTTTCAATATTATTTCTTCATTTTGAATGGTATGAATTTGACAACATAGAACTGAAGCTGAAAATCATTTAAAAAAGATTAACATATTTAAACAAAAAACTAAACTAAAATCAAAAGACCTGAGGTCTGCTTCTAGTAAAGTTCTTGTGAATGTACTGTAGAATTAATGGAGGCATGCCATTGCAAAGCTGCTGTGCTGCTCATTTAACAGCAGCACAAACAGCTTAACACTTTCTTATGTTTAAGTTTTTGTGTGGAGATTTTCCACCAGTGAACATGTAACCGGCGGGTTGCACGCCTACACCGCCTGGTGAGTAATTTGTCGGAATGATCATGGATATAAAAAACACCTGGGGAGATGCTGTTGGGACAAGCAAGTGCTGTGCTGATCGCTGCTGTAACTATCTTGAAGTGGATCTTCCTCCATTGATATGTGTCCTGCTTTCTCTGTAAGACTGTTGTTCAGGGGATTACCACCTGCTCTCTAGGGGCGATAATTAATGCCAGCGTGATCCAGTAGAAGTTGGCGTCCATCGCACATGTTGTGCTAGGGTGACGTGCAGCCAAGGGGTGATAGCCACTGCTAGTGATGGCCATACGAGGCCCCATGGAGCTTTGAACCCTTTTGGACCATTGTATTGAAAATTGGTTCACTACTGGAAGCTTCATTCATTGAGCACGTGGGTGACACCTGCTGGCGCAGTGGTTGTTGTGCAGCCTTTCAGAGGTGACACTGATGCGCCTTGCGTGTGCATGAGTTTTGTTTTAATGATGAGTTTTGTTGTAATGTGGAAATTACCTAAATAAAGCTGAAATCTAACTTCATTTTACGTGTCTGTTTTTCTTCCTTGCCTTATAAAGTATCTGAAATGAAATGTTGAGTAATCCTCCTTCCCCAAGAACTCTTTAAGAATATGAAATGGATTTATAATTATTCATCCCAAATTACACACAGTAAATATGTACAGGGTTCAGTGAGGCTGTGGATGTAATTAATGTTCTGACAATATAATATAATAGTGAGTCAATCCAAAATGTGTTGACAAGACGTAGGACAGGGCACTGTTTCATCCATCTTAAATACATTTGTGTCGCTCCGATGTTTCAAAGCTCCGCCTGTCGAACCAAACCAGTCAGCTGATTCAATCTGAATGAAGCAAAAGTGGTTCGATCGTCATCAGTCACGTGGTTTTTCCTGATTTGATGTAAGCTCCGGCACAGTGCTTCAGAAAAATATCCTTCCGAGTTTCACTGTAACAAATTGCTGTAAATATACGGTGGATTTAAAACAGTATCATGCTGTATTTATTAATAACTGTAAAATACTGTAAAATAACCATCCCTCACATGTAAATTAACAGGTAATTCAGTAGATTAACAATTAACAGCAGAGAACTGTAATTTAACAGTATAAAACAGTATTTTCTGTCAAGCTTAGGAAAGACACATGTCGATTCACTTAGAGAACCTGTTGCTATCCTTCAACATCTTGCTTGACAACGTGACTATGCTGGCAGTTTGACTAGTTGGCATGCTCCACCTGGAACTCAACCACACTAAGGTAATGTAATTTATCCAGTGTCCATTCATCCATTTTTGTATTTTTCTGTCTTCAGTACACGAAAACGCAGACTTTCATTAAAACGTATACTTTCATTAAAACACATACTTTCTCGATTGTATCCGTGATGACGGCCCAAAACGCCCCCGTATCATAAAAACGGAGTCTTTTGAGAACGGGTCCCTTAGAGAGTTTTGAAAATGCCAGCTAAAACGTTTTAAAGCGTTTCCCGCCAAAACTCATACTGAAGTCTGCGTTTTAACAAAAGTATGCGTTGCCGTGTGGACGGGGCCTGAAGCTATAGCTAATGCGTATTTACTTGTGCTACAGGCACTGTTCAACTGGAAGGAAGGAAGACTTTCAGAAGGGAGACTTGAGGCATTGTTCTTCTCTCCATTGTAGTAATGTAACTTCCGGGTTTGCAAGCGAGAGTAGACGTCTTTACTGTTCCTCTTGTCTGTTCTATATTTTATTTTTCAAGTCTTTGAGCATACTTTACAACTGCTAAAATGCCTCAAAGAGGGAAAAGAGCTAATAAATCAGAAGTGACGGAGGATATGGAGGCAGAAGAAATGTGTCATAGAGCGGTGCAAGTTAAAGATATCGTGGATCATGAGAAACAGATGTTCATTGCGATGCTAAACCAACAGCAGGAGTGCTTCAAAGGCTTTAAGCAACTATTTATGGAGACAAACAACAAGAGATAAGACGAAATGACCAGAGAAATACAGGAGATAAAAACGAGTTTGCAGTTTACCCAGCGAGAGGTGGATGTGATAAAGGCGGCCATGGGTGAACAGAAAATACAAATAAGGAAGAGAAGGAGGAGGTCTACAGAACGTGTGAGAGTCTAATGACTATAACGGATAGAATGGAGCATCTGGCTCACAGAGTTGGGAAACCTTCTGATCGTGGTCCGAGGGCGGTATTGGTGAAGTTGATGAAAGAGAAAGACAAGGCACAAATATTGCAACAAGCGAAGAAGCTCAAAGGATCTAACATTTACATAAATGAAGATTACACCGAGTATGTGAGGATGAAAAGAAGGGAATTGATGCCGAAGTTAAAGGAGGCCAGGGCGAGGGGAGACATCGCGTTCCTGAGGTATGATCGACTAGTGACCAGACC